TATCTATTACTTTTCAGAATATAAATTGTGCTCAGACTTTGACAAAATTACTAAAACACATACTCATAAGCAAATATGTAATAAAGGATCAAAACAGGGGCAAAAATGAAACTTCAAAAAGTGGTACAAGGGATGGGCTGAATGGTTGATGAGGTAAGCAAGGGTAATTTCGTTAGGGCACCGAAAACTTTATATAGCAGCTACAATACAATTACTTTTCGATCAATGATTTGCTCACTTTTCGTGAAGTTACTGAAATACTCTCAGGCATGTTTGACCCCCTATGTGCTTATTCCCTCTTATTAATAGTTAGAATTACATACCATAGCACTGTATCATCGGACACTTTTGGGTGCACGTAATACAATATCTCTATAAAAATAAATAGTTTTGTACATTAAATTCATTAATACGTGCTTGTGTGTATGTATTAATTTTATATGGTACCACATGACCATGATAGTAAAGTATATTATTGTAAGATGTATAAAGTGTATCAAAAATAAGTAGAATTTTTAAGTAATTTGAGACAATTTTTTTATTATGCAGATAATTAATTAATTACCAGGTAACGGAACACTACTTAATTACCTAACAAGTAATGGATAGAGATTAAAATTTTCCCATCTCACCCCACGTGGCAGCCACATAGAAACACATTAAGTGACTCATCATCAGCAAGGGGAAGGAAAATATTGAAATGGTCCAACTTGAAATTAGGGGTGCTGGATACATCCTTGATTCCATTGCTAGAAGACATCCCTTATTTTGTAAAGGAGAACATGTCGATTCCCTCTCATTTGGATGGTGAAGATAAGCTGGACTTTCCAGCTAAATTTGTAATAGCTTCGTTGGCATCTTATTTCCTGATTAAGTTGAAGCATCTACGTCTAATTGGTACAAAGATGGGGATGATCCGAGAGTTATTCTTCTTTGTAACTCAAACATCAGGCGCTCAAAGTTTATCTTTTGCTTGTATTTCTAACTCCTTGAATAAACCAACACCACTTCAGTTGGATGTGTCCTTTCCTTCACTGAAAGACATCAAATGGAGTTTAGCACGATTAATATATTTGTTCAACATACAACTAGAGAAAAATGTTGCCACGTTTTTTTATTGTTCTTTTGGTATCATGCTTCTTATTTGTGATGATTGGTGGTGTTCTATTCTTTAAATTCAGCTGGGACTATGATTCTGAAGACAATGTCCTCTAGCACTTTTCTAATTGGCCTCAATAATCATTTGTGAAACAGGATTACTATCTTTCTTCTTTTCCTTTTTCTGTTTTCAACATGTCCAGCTAGCTCTTCTTAGTGGTGGAAAGTATTTTAATTCTAAGTTGAGCTGATTTTAAGATTCTGAGGAGGTTTTATTTCGGATATAGAATAAGATTCTGAGGAGGTTCTGTATATTGGATTACAATGCCTTATTCTCAGACAGTCATGGTTCTTCGATGCCGTTTGCCTCATTCCGTTGTTCAATTTTGAGTGTTAGAAGTAAACAACATGTATGTTAAGGCTATCCCTTATTTCTTTTGGCATGATCCAAGTAACAATATGTAAACGTAATGCTATTTTATAAGTGGTTCTACCCTTAGTAGTTAAGGATATCTACATTATTCATTCCTATAAAATGATATTCAAGCATGTCTAAGTATGTTCCTAAGTCTCTATTGAGCTATATGATTAAAATGTTGAATGAAGTTGTGTATGGTATATGATAGAGAAGTTAATATTTATAATATAGTGATACATGTACATGCATCTTCATGTATTTACCACCGTGCTACAGCCGGTCGGGCAGTTACCACCGATTGGGCAGTTACGTATCATTATTTACCGCCGGTTGGGCAGACATGTATATTAATTTACCACCGAGCTACGGCCGGTTGGGCAGTTACACATTTACCACCGAGCTACGGCCGGTTGGGCAGTTACATATTCACCACCGAGCTACGGCCGATCGGGCAGTCATGCATTTACGATCACGCTACGGCCGGTCGGGCAGTCATGCATCATACGATATGAATAATAGCCTCAAAGCGAAGAATTATATATGCAAGTATGAATATACGGTGGCGCTTCAGAGATGCAGGTTGATTCTTATATGTCATTAATTAATGTTGACTTATTTGTATATTTTAGTTCTGCCTTACATACTCAGTACATTATTCGTACTGATGTCCTTTTGTTGGGGACGCTGCATTCATGCCTGTAGGTATAGATAATCAGTTTGGCAAGCCCTCATCGTAGACGAGATTGGCATTCAGTGAAGGATCGGTAAGACTCCACCTTATTCGGAGTGTAGCCGAGTCTATGAGTCATCGTGTTAGAGTTTTACTACATACTTATGGGTCAGCCGGTACCCTGCCCCATTTGATGTCAAATAATCTTAGATGCTTTGTAGACAGAGGTTCATGTTGTACAGTATGTTAGAGGCCTTGACAGCCCATATGTATTAATGTTTTATGAACGATGGTTTATTAATATAACATTTGCCCACTTACAATTGTACATTACGAGTTGGGGCGATTTGGCTCATGATAGTTACACAAGGAATGCATGAGTTACAGAGTGGTTCGCTCGGGCCAGTGCGGCACCGGGTGCCAGCCTCCCAAGGTTTAGGGCATGACACTAAACACCTAGTGTTCGGGGGTTGTGATTTAGCCATGAATATTGTTGTTTGATATTAGCTTGAACTTGATTATAATTCACCAATATATGGTTGTTTCTTCTATTTTGTGATTAATTGCTTAATTGTCTGGCCAGCAGTTAGGTTCTATTTACTATCTATGCTATGCTTGGGAAAGCCGTGTTTAGATTAGAGAAGAATTGAAGGAAGCATGATCTTAACCCTTAGGGGGAGCAGATTTGTGGTTAGGATCGTAATCTTAATGCGTTCTTAATAGATTGATTTCATAGGAATATAGGCGTTAATCTATTGAGAATAGGTGAGTAGTACTTCAGGAGAAGGCTATGAGAGCATTTATCGATTAATTAGCAACCATGAGTAAATTATATGAAAGGGAGAGATAATTAGAACACAATACGAATGGTGAATCGATCACAACCTTGGAATACTTGTCTCTACTGAATACATAACAATCAACTCGTTACTTGATAATTCAGTTGTTATTTAGAATAGTAGTATAATATAATCATATTATTGGACTTTGATTTTAGCTGGATTGAATAACAATTTTAGTGATTTAGTGAGTAGTTTATACAAGTCTCTGTGGGTTCGACACTCAATTTATTATTGTATTACTTGTCGACCACGTATACTTGTGTGTGTGTTTGGGAGCAATAGGTTTTTGGTGTCGTTGCCGGGGACTTGAATATTAACTATTTTTTAGTTTTTGCTTTAATTATTTATTTCATCGAGTCTAACGTTACTTGATTGTTGCTCAGATCTTAGGAACTTTGATTGAATGCGCAGGGTCAGAAGCCAGGACCGACTTCAAGGCTTTGATCCTTAACCTGAGAGAACATTTCACAGGAGGTCTGAGGGAAGCAAGAGACACGAATAATATTCAGGCACTTGTTCAATTTCCCGTGGACATGGAAGAGGAGCAACACATGGTTGTTCAAGAAATGGCCATGCCCAGTATTGCTAATGTCACCTCCAGTATTGTGAAGCCCAGAATCACTGGGCACTTTGAGCTGAAACAGAGCATAATTCAGCTACTTCATGCAAACGGGCAGTTTATGGGTCTTCCACACGAGGATCCACAACAGCATATTCTGAACTTCTTGGAGATTAGTGATACTTATATCACTAACAGGGTCACTTAGCTAAGAGATGGTTAAAGGCAGAACCAGCTAATTCCATTACATTATGGAATGATTTGGCAAGAAAAATTCTGGCAAGGTTCTTCCCTTCAGGCAAAACTATAAAGATCGGAAGTGAGATAGTTGCCTTCAAACAGAAAGCAGGAGAATCTTTATACTCAGCTTGGGAAAGGTTCAAGGGGCTAATCAGAGACTGTCCTCATCACAATCAGACAAGAGAAGTATTATCTCACACTTTCATAGAAGGTCTACATCCTGAAACAAAGATTGTGGTAGATGCTGCAGTTGGAGGTCAAGTGTTGGAGAAAAGCTTTGACGAGATATATGCATTATTGAACAAATTCTCCAAAAAGCAATCCGGATTGTCAAGGAGAGATGGGCTGACACACAGTGCAAAAGTCTGCAGGAGTTCTTGAGTTAGATGTCGTCTCAGCATTATCAGCGCAGATTTTTACACTGACCAATCAAGTCAATCAATGACCTTGATTATTAACAAGCAACAAGCACAATCGGTACAACAGGTTCACGTGTTTTGTAAAATATGTGGAGAGGGTCACACAAGCGACATATGCCCCGCTAACCTAGAGTTTGTCTGCTTTGTGGGTAATTTAAATAGGGGCCAAACAAACCAATATGGAAACACTTACAATCCCAACTGGAGGAACCACCCAAACTTCTCTTGGGGTGGAAACCAAGGTACTTAGAATCAATACAGGCCTCAAGCACCTCAACAGCAATATAGACCACCTCAAGTTGAACAACAAGCGAGTCCTAAAAGTCACCTTGAAGACATGTTGAAAAAAGTGATGGCTGAATAGTAAGCCCTCTCTCAAAAAGTGATGGCTGAACAGCAAGGCCAAGCTGCAACAATGAGAAATTTGGAGCGCCAAATGGGACAGCTTGCCAGTGCTCAATACACTAGACCAGTTGGAGCTCTTCCAAGTGACACTGAAGCAAATCCTAGGGCAGCCCTTAATGCCGTGTCGTTGAGGAATGGGAGACAATTAGAAGAAGTTCAGTCTAAAAAGAGGAAACATGTGACTTTTGATGAGAGGCCAACCGCTAAAGAATCAACATAAGAAAAAGCTAAGGAGCCAAAGAAGCCAGCTGGAGAGGCGGTGGCTAAGCAACCCCCACCATTGGTTGCAAGGCGACCACCTCCATTCCCTCAAAGATTGCAGAAATTAAGGGATAACGCCGCATATAAAATGTTTCTTGATACTTTGAAGCAGGTGAAAATTAATATTCCATTGGTTGACATCTTACAAGAAGTACCCAAATATGCAAAGTACATCAAGGACATTGTGGCAAATAAAAGAAGGCTGACCGAGTTTGAAACTGTGGCACTCACTGAGGAGTGCAGTTCAAGAATTCAGGGTGAGTTACCTCAGAAATTGAAGGATCCAGGTAGTTTCACTATCCAAATCTCGATTGGTAAATATGTTGTTGGGCGAACTTTATGTGATCTTGGAGCGAGCATCAATTTGATGTTGCTATCTGTGTTCAGACAGTTGGGGTTGGGTGAGCCATGCCCAATAACAGTTATCTTACAGTTAGTTGATCGCTCCCTTGCTCATCCTGAGGGAGTGATTGAAGATGTGTTAGTTCAAGTGGGTTCTTTCATATTCCCAGCTGATTTCATTATCTTTGATTACGAGCCTGATCAGGAAGTGCCATTTATTTTGGGGCATCCATTCTTAGCCACGGGCCGAGCTATTATTGATGTTTGCAAAGGAAAGATGACGATGAGAGTAGGTGATCGAGTGGAGGTGTTCAATGTTTATAAAGCACTCAGGTTCCCAGCCCACTATGAAGAGTTATCCATGATCTCTATGGTGGAGAGTGATGCCACATCGTTAGTGCCCTATATGAGCCCTGTAGATCCTGTTGAACTAGTATTGATTGAGGATGGAGAAAATAGTGAAGATGAAATGATGGGAGAAGTTGAGAAAGTACTGGATATGCCCTGCAGTTTTGTCCAGGGGTTTAGAAAATTTGAAGAGTTGGACAGGCCTGTCACTCTGACCCCTCCTAAGTCATCTATTGAAGAAGCTCCGAAGCTAGAACTTATGCCACTTCCAGCGCATCTGCGCTATGCTTATTTGGGAAACTCTGAGACATTGCCCGTGATTATTTCGTCCACTTGACCAACACTCAAGAAGAAAAATTGCTCAAAGTACTCCACTAGCATAAAAAGGCCATTTGGTGGACTATAGCTGACATCAAGGGTATTAGTCCATCATTTTGCATGCATAAAATCTTTTTAGAGGATGGACACCGCCCCAGTATGGTGCAGCAAAAAATATTAAATCCCATTATGAAAGAGGTGGTGAAAAAGGAAGTAATCAAGTTGCTCGATGCAGGTATCATTTTTCCTATTTCTGACAGCAACTGTGTAAGCCCAGTTCAATGTGTGCCTAAAAAGGGAGGAATGACTGTAGTTGAGAATGAGAAGAATGAGCTAGTTCCTACTCGCACTGTTACGGGGTGGAGAGTCTGCATTGATTATAGACGGCTCAACAAAGCAACTCGCAAGGACCACTTCCCATTTCCATTCATTGACCAAATGCTAGACAGATTAGTCAGGCATGAAATTATTGCTTCCTTGATGGTTATTCGGGATACAATCAGATAATCATATGCCTAGAGGATCAGGAGAAGACCATTTTTACTTGTCCTTATGGTACTTTTGCCATCAAGCGAATGACGTTTGGTCTTTGTAATGCACCAGTCACTTTCCAGAGGTGCATGATGGCTATTTTCACTGACATGGTAGAAAAATTCGTGGAAGTGTTTATGGATGATTTTTCAGTTTTTGGTTCTTCTTATGATGATTGCTTGAGGAATTTAAGCAAGGTCTTGGCCCATTGTGAAGAAACAAATCTGGTACTAAATTGGGAAAAGTGTCATTTTATGGTACAAGAAGGCATCGTGTTGGGTCATAGAGTATCTAGGAGCGGCATTGAAGTTGATAAGGCGAAGGTGGAGGCGATTGAAAAATTATCTCCACCTATTTTAGTGAAGGGTGTTCGGAGTTTCTTGGGACACACAGGTTTCTATCGGCGCTTTATTAAAGATTTTTCAAAAATTGCTACTCCTTTGTGCAGGCTGTTTGAAAAAGATGTAACTTTCAACTTTGATGATGCTTGCCTCAAGGCATTTGAAGAACTCAAAAAGAAGTTGGTATATGCTCCCATTATTGTGGCACCTGATTGGTCCGTACCATTTAACCTTATGTGTGATACGAGTGACCTTGTTATTGGGGCAGTGCTAGGCCAGAGGAAGGACAAGGCATTTTATTCCATCTACTATGCGAGTAAGACTCTTGATGATGCACAACTGAATTACACCACCACTAAAAAGGAATCTAAGGCTAGATTGATGCGTTGGGTTTTGTTGCTGCAGGAATTTGATGTAGAAATACGAGATCAAAAGGGGATAGAGAACCAAGTAGCTGACCATCTATCAAGGCTTGAAATCACGATCACGTAGAGGAGGGTGACCAAATTAAAGAAGTCTTTCCTAATGAGCAACTTTTTTCTATCACCCAAGACCCTCCTCCATGGTACGCAAACTACGTGAATTATCTTGTGAGTGGGGTACTTCCTCCTGAAATTGAATCTGAATCTAGAAAGAGGTTTTTACATGATGTGAACTTTTACTACTGGGATGAGCCCTATTTGTAAAAGCAATGTGCTGATCAGTTGATGAGGATATGCATTCCTGAAAAGGAGGTAGAATTAGTGTTGTATGATTTTCACGCATCACCTTATGGGGCCATCATGGAGGAGATAGAACAGCTGCAAAGGTACTACAATCCGGTCTCTTTTGGCCAACTTTTGTTAAGAAGTGTTACCAATGTCAGAGAACAGGAATAATCACAAGGAGGCATGAGATTCCTTTGACTAAAATCTTGGAGGTTGAGATCTTTGATGTGTGGGGGATAGATTTTATGGGACCATTCCCATCGTCTAGAGGAAATAAATACATTTTTCTAGCAGTTGACTACGTGTCGAAATGGGTGGAGGCAATTGCCTTGGCAACAAATGATGCCATGGTAGTAGCTGCATTTGTGAAAAAGAATATATTTTTGAGGTTTGGGACTCCACGTGCCTTAATTATTGATGAGGGGACTCATTTTTGCAATCGGTTGTTGAATAATGTTCTAGCTAAATATGGGGTCCGCCATAGAGTTGCTACAACATATCATCCTCAAACAAGTGGTCAAGCTAAGGTGTCGAACAGAGAAATAAAGCAAATCTTAGAGAAGACGGTGAGTGTGAATAGGAAGGATTGGGCTGAAAAGTTAGATGATGCCTTGTGGGCGTATAGAACAACATACAAAATGCCAATTGGGGCGTCACCTTATAAGCTTGTTTATGGGAAGGCATGTCACTTGCCTGTTGAACTTGAACACAAAGCGTATTGGGCCATTAATAAGTTGAACATGGATCTTGACACCACGGGTGAGAAAAGACTCTTGCAGTTGAATGAATTAGATGAGTTTAGGCTGCACTCTTACGAAAATGTTAAGCTATATAAAGAGAAGACTAAAAGATGTCATGACAAGTGTATCAAGCCACGTCACTTCGAGCCAGGCCAACAGGTATTATTGTTCAATTCTAGGAAAAAGTTATTTCGTGGGAAGTTAAAATCGAGATGGTCAGGCCCTTTTGAGGTGGTGAGAGTCACTCCTTATAGTGCAATTGAGTTGCGAGCTTTAAATGGTGAAAGAAAATTTTTGGTGAACGGACATAGATTTAAGCACTATTGGGGAGGAATAATTGACCGCGAGAAGACCCAAGTTGTACTCGCTGATGAGTAAGCAAGGCCATACGTCGTACCACGATGTTAAATCAGGCACTTGTTGGGAGGCAACCCATCTTTATTGTTTTCTTTTGTTTTTATTTTTTTGTTGTTATTATTGTTGTAGTATTTGTTTTTGTTTTGTAGGATTATAAACATATGAGGAAAAGTCATTGGAAGAGTGTAAAAGCGAGTTAGATGTTCAGGACTAATTGTTGGGAGCCCACACGAAGGACTATGCCTTGGGGAAGTCTGAGTACTCATGAGCTGCTATTGCTTCGGCCTTTGGCCTTTCAGGGAGTTTCTTATCCACCCTTGTTATTGTTTTGCTTTATTTATGCATTGAGGACACTGCACTCTTTTAAGTGTGGGGTGGGAGAATTCTCTAGATGATTAGTAGGATGTAGAATTGTGTAGCATTTTAGTAGCTCGAAAAAAAATCAAAAAAATAGAAAATTGGACTTATCCTGATGATGGATCTCCTAGACATTTTTCTTGAGGGATTAACGTCTAAATAAAAAGGACAAAAAAGATTTTTTCTATAGGTAGTGTATCAATTTTCCCTTGGTTTTTCTTTGTGCCGCAGTTCTTTTTCAAAGGTTTTGTTTGAACCGGGTATAGTTAACCTTGTCATCCCTTGAGAATAGTGAGTACTTTAGTTGTGACGCTTAGGCTCAGTTTTTGACTCTTATATAAGTACCTTAAATTTTATGATCGTAACATTGCTTAGTTTCTTTGACTAGAGTGTCTTGATGAGTCTAATCCTGAGTGAGTTATGTGCCATGTGTGTGTAAAGTTTTATGTTATTCTGTGCATTGCATTTGATGTCTAGGACTTGCCCCGTGTATTTTCAAAGCGAAATAGTAATTTTGTTCAGTCTTGGAAGTGATATAGGTGTTTCTTTATTGAGCCATATAAATATTTTACCCGCCTAATTGTTATGTATCATAGTTAACCCCTTTGAGCCTGTAATCCTGTTTCTTTGGCAACCACATTACAAGCTTTACCCATTTGTTTGAATTAACCATTTATTTGAACCTTTTCACCTCTCATGAGCACTTGAATTGTTATGAACTGTGTAAAAGTTAAAGCGTGGGGTGGTTGGATTGGATTTTTAGTGGAACTAATGAAATAAGGAGAAATGTGCAGTGTTTTGGAAAAAAAAGTAAGAGCCACTTGAAAAGAAAAAAAAGAAAGAAAAAATATAGTTGTATTACTGTGAAAAATATTCCTTGCTAAGTGGTGACTCTTAATGTAATTGTGCTTAAAGAAGTGAGGAGTTAATATATATTGATGTGAAGGTGGAGTTATGGTTTGACATAAGTATGGGGTTTTAAATGTTAAAGTGTATGTATTAAAGTGCTTAGGGAGGTGTAGTCACTCTTATATCGAAATATATCCTACCTGACCCGCAACCTACGTTACAACCAAATAAAGTCCTACTTGATCCTAGACTAAATGAGCTCGATTAGTAGAGTAGTACACTACGGGCAAGCTTATGGTGCATCTTTTGTGGCATATGAATGTTATTTCTGAGAGTGAGTGAAGTCTTTCTATCTTGAGTTCCTAATTGTTCTTAATTTGTATTGTGTGTGGAACTACTCTCTTTAGTTGTGTGAGGTCACTTGATTCATGAAGGAAAGGTAATGTCAGTGACCTCTATGTTAGAGTAAGTGGGTGAGCTGTGAATAATGTGTGGTAATTGTGAGTCAAACCTTGAGGTGAAGATGTTACACTCTTGTGCTTAGTCTATTTTAAATATTCTTGGTATGATGAGTTAGGAGAGCTATCTAAAAAGGTCGTGTCTATATAAAGTGTAGTTTGATTGCTCGAGGACGCGCAATGGTTTAAGTGTGGGGTGTTGATGATCGGCTATAATTCTGTTTTTTAGTCGCTTATTACACTCTAATTTACTGCACTTTAATTGAGCTTGAGCTTTAATCGCTAGTGTTTTGCACTAAATATGTGTTTTATGCCTTGTAGGAGTGATTCCGATCTATGTAGGCGTTATGGAATGAATTCAAGTAATTTGGAGCTTTGTAGACTGAGTAAAATCCCAAGAAATTAAGTCGGGATCGTGTTCGGGGATCAGCGGATGATAGTTAAGAACAAAACAAAGAATTGAGTGGGCATACGGTGCATTGTCTAGTAAAATGCACATACCTTTTCGCTCAGAACTCCGTTTAGGCTCCACACTATATCGTTAGAAAGTTATTTGAAAGGGATACAACTTTCATGTTTTGCATTTTCGTAGATATTTACTACCGCGCCGTATGGGGAGGCGCAGGGTGCGGCGCAGAAGTGTAAAAACTGGCCTGACAAGAAAAATGCAAGGCTGCTG